GTCGCCTCTTACGACAAGCATGTGTTACTGAAGACCAATTCAAACCCGAATCTTCACGGGTTCTTTGATATATAAAAGCATGTATAAATATTCATCGAATTATCGGATCAAACACGACAGACACATTTATTTGTGAGGGTACAGTTGAATGGTTAGCAATACGGAATTTGAGTCCTGTCGTTGTCCATTCGCTTGGATTATCAGCTGTATTTTGTAACTCCAATATGACACTGCACATTTTTGTAACTCCAATATGACATTGCACATCGTGCCCAGGTCGTCACCAATTTCCCCTGATGATAAGTCATACAGCTATTGAACTTAACCCGTTAGGTCCCCTGACATGTCTGTAATTGAACTTTTATGGGATGTACTGGTTGCGGAGAATGTGCACCGGAGAACCACCAACCAGCAAAGTGACAAAGCAATGGAATGCTCTTTAGGCAATGCCTATACCGAGTAGCTGGCAATACCAAGGGGAAATGAGGGTATTCCATCATGTAACACCCAGCATACCAGCAAAGTTGATACAACATACATTAATGCCCCCCACCGCCCTACTTTTCGTCATTATACCTTTACTATCAATTGCATCAATTTCCTTACCGATTTTCAGTGGTATATATTTTTCATTCACATTAATTACTGGTATATAAGAGTCCGTTTTAGAATTTTGGGGTTATCGTTTCATATTTGTGGATTGGCCTACAACATATATTTGAGAATTGATTCCGACAGTAATTTATATTAAAAGATCGTCTTTGATCGATAAGATGCTGACTAAACATCCAACCGCGTCCTTTCGTGGGGATTTTTCAAATATATCTTATTATATTGAGTGCGATTATGCTCTTAGGGATTTTGCATTCAAAATCCGTACATGTTAAAATTCGGAAATGTCGTTTGTGGGGAGGATGTGAAGACCCCAAAACACAAGCTTTTGGTGTATTAAACGCTTCATTTGCTTTCCTTTAAAAGGAAATGGATTCTTACGGAAAGATCCTGTGAGACAGGTGAATCATGGGGAGATTTTGATTCTTAACTGAACTATCTGATGTTACTTGTACCTAGCGAACTCAAGCATTCTTTTTTAAAAAGAAAATTGATTTATGCAGAAAAAGCATGTGATTGGTGTAACTTATGGAGATTATGAACTAAAGAGTTACAGCATCAACATATCTGATATTACTTGCACCCAGCGAACTCTGGAAGTTTTCAACTTGTTAATAAATTTGTTTTATCTCCGACTATTTTGCCAGTGGAGGCTCATAATGGTGTTTCACAGTGATGACCCCTTTGGGAATCCAGCAAATTTCCCCAGCCATGTGCTTGTTTAAAACTGCTCAAACTTCTGAAGGATGTTTGCAAAGTTTGACCTCGCTGATTGTTTTCAAAGGCACAATGTCACAAAATATTGGTCTATATTATATATGTTTGGGCATAGGCACACACTTTAACTTCCTATTGATGCAATAAAAGACTTATTATACATTACGACTTGCCTGAAATCAATAACTAAAACTTCGAGGCGAACAGCTTCCAAACACAGAACACTTGCCATATAGGGAATGCAAATAACTGCTCCGTACATCGAAAACTGTCGCACGCGGTGCTGTCGGTGTTTGTCGAACTGGTTTCAATCACAAGTTGCGTGTAGGATATTCGTAAAGAGCGCTCCAAGGGGCATGACTCTATGGGGTTTGCTTGAAATAATGTTCGGCCGGTAGAGGGCGCCAGAGTCGATTTAGTACCACGTTTCATTAATTCATTTGAACTATTTAATTTATGTTGTAATCTAAATAAGTAATTTTCAAAATAGATTATATGGTAGCTTCCTTGAGGGCTGATGGTAGTATTAAGAGAAATGCATTATTATTAGAAGTGTGTTGTGATATAGCGCCTTTTACGGTTGCCGTGCTCTCAACCATTGGTGTCACCGTACCAGAATGACCATCTGTGTATTGTGCGCGCGTGGGTGGGTGTACTTAGATGCCTTTCCATAGCACTTGATTTCAATCAATCAAATAGTGCATTGTAATTCGCATGTTTTTATTAGCCAGGTGTTTTATAACCCCAAGGCGGGTAACTCTCCTGCCCTTAGTTGTTTTTGCATGCCGCTAAAACAATTTACCGCTAATAGAGTTGTAACACTACATGTTTAACACTACTTTAACACTTTTTCAGCAACATGATTGTGTGTAATCAAGTTTGTCACCTTTTACAGTTTTCATAGCTCTAGGGTTCAGTTAGACTTAAACATAAACTAATAATTGACAATGACATTAAAATTGCTGAAATCAGGCAACAGAACTCACGCCCTTAAAGGCCGAAGCGCAAACTTTGAAAAATCCCATGGATTTCCAATTAGTCTCTCATTGGCTACTCAGGGTCGAAGTTAACTTTTCTTTTTTGGGAGGGGGGCACTATCCTTCTGCGGGAGTCCGGGGGCATGCTCCCCCGTGAACTTTTTTAATTTAGATTCTCTCAGATGCAATTTCCTGCTTTCTGGGGGTAAAACTTATGCACTCTCCAATTTTATATAAAATAATATTTTTACTGCAAACGTTTGACCAATTTTCTTCATGTTTTTTTCCAAAAAAGTTTCTCTTTCAAAATGTTAGGATCTCTGCATAATTTTCTGAAGTAAACTTCATAAATGTGTTTAGACATACACTAGACGCCAAATGAAACGTTATCCTCCCACCTTTATGAATTGCTGAAAAACTATCAAAGATATTTGAGAATGTTTTAGTTTGCAAGAAAGCTTAACAACAGAGCTTTATGCAAATCACGAAAATAAATTTTCAAATGCATTCATATTTGGGTGAAATGCATCTTTTTCAGAAGAGTTAAATTGTCCTATATTCGTCCATGCCGAAATAAACCAATAGTGATTTTGATGTCCAAACGAAAGGTTGAAATAAAATTCTGCTTTGTGTGGATCATTTCAGTCTTTTTAAGACAGACCAAAAGTGGACGTCCACGCATCACAACTTGCTTTGCTGAAGAAGGTACCTCCGTCATAACAATTATCTTTAAAAGGGGTAACGTTTCTTTTGGCGTTTAGTGTATCTGTATATATATATGCAGTTTTGTTCAGTATCAATAATCGCCAAAAATAATATTTATTTACATCTATGTACAACAGTTGTATTATTGTACAACAGTTATCTGATATTGTACAACAGTTGTATTATTGTACAACAGTTGTATTATTTTACAACAGTTGTATTATTGTACAACAGTTGTATTATTTTACAACAGTTGTATTATTGTACAACAGTTGTATTATTGTACAACAGTTGTATTATTGTACAACAGTTGTATTATTGTACAACAGTTGTATTATTGTACAACAGTTGTATTATTGAATGCAGTTGACAGTCCAGAAATTGCACGTGAAAGTTATATAATAATACATGATATCTTCAGGTTTGTTCAATATTTTGGAGTCATATGGACTGAGTGCAATCAATTTTTTTCTAATAAAGTCTGTTCGTTAATTATCATTAGGTATTGCACAGACATGCCGTCATGTTATAGGGTTCCGGGTAGTCTATGTCATTGCCTTGGATTCCATATTTCATTTATTAATGGTGCTGTAACCATATGTAATCAGGTGTATCGTTCTGGTACCGAATCTTTGCATCATTAATTGAGCTGTGAATTTCAGGGCTCAAAAGAGTGTAATATAAAAACTGTACAACAAACAGCTAACTATCAGCGTCAATACTTTTTCATAGCATACTTCTTTTATATTAGGCTTGATATAATCAAGAACCAGTAAGTCAGGTTTGTGATATTTTATGTAATGTACCTGAATATGGCTTTGCTTTGCACTGGAAGACCACTTAGACAACTTGAAGGCAACGTGGCCACACCCCAATTGTGTATTGGTTTGCATCCCGGCGTTTGGCCTTAGGTCACTGCTATTACACAAATGGAAAACTATGGTGGCTGATATGGGCCATCGCTTTCTCGCCTTCGAATTCGTGAAATTTGCTTGTGTGCGGTTTTCATTTTCACATCACCACCACCCGACCCAAAAAATAAATAAAAAATAAATAAATAAATATATAAATAAGTAAATAAAAATAATAATAATAATAATAATGAGCAACACTGACAACTGGGTGATGCATGATGACTTTCAAAATTAATGGTCTACAGTGATTAATCGACCTTCTTGAAAACCGTCAAAATCAAGAACGACACCCCATGCACGTGCATTGGGCTACTGCGTTTTTCCCATGCGTTGTGCTTAGGGGTGATAATGGTAGTGAGAAATGGTGGTGCGTTTATAAGATGTCTGTCTTTGATAAAGTTTGTTAAAGCTTATACTTCCTATCCAAATTGAAAGTTCAGGTTCCCTACTTCTTTTGAAGAGTATATATACTACGTGTGATGAAGTGAGGTGTATGTTTGTTTACTCTTCAGTTATCAGTACTGTAGATACATCACCGAGATTTGAGCAGACAGACCGGTGGTTGATATTGTGAGAAGCGTTCCACGCCGTTGGGCGTTCGGTGACATCATAGTGACAAGAACGATCACTGTTTTAGTCGACCATTGCAAGGGGGGGTGAAGTAGCCTAGGTGTTAAAGCGTTCGCTCGTCACGCTGATGACACGAGTTCGATTCCCCACATATGCACAATGTGTGAAGGCCATTTCTGGTGTCTCCCAGATGGGAGCTAAAACGGCGTAAAACTAAACTCAGTCGACCTTTGCGAGAGGCCTACGTCGCTGGGGATGCCCCATCAGGATACCCCACAAAGCAGGTTCGAATCCATGGCCACCGGGAGAAACATGTAGGGAACCGGGCCCGAACCAAGCAGAGAAACAAGCCAGTGCTCACAACACCTTGCTACCCAACCGTCTACATTCGCCTGACGAAGTGATCGTTGAAAGTATAGATCACATTTCCATGTTGAATCAATTTGGATCAAATTGAAATATGTTTGTGAACTTTTCTTCACAAAAAAATTATAAACACATAGAGTTCATGAAGATGGAACTTTATAATGCTGAAGTAGTAACATTTGTCTCAGGTTTTCATGTTTATCACATCCTGGTACCTCCAAGCTTATCACATCCTGGTACCTCCAAGCTTATCACACCCTGGTACCTCAAAGCTTATCACACCCTGGTACCTACAAGCTTATCACACCCTGGTACCTCCAAGCTTATCACATCCTGGTACCTAAAAGCTTATCACACCCTGGTACCTCCAAGCTGATCTCTATACTAACAAGAAGGTACATATCTCCTGGCGAGAGCGTCTATGTTATATTGAGCAAGAAATGTATAAACAAAGTGGCACATTACAACATCTGCAACAGCATCAAAACGTATTCATGCATCGGACATCTTTTATACATTAAGAACAAAACTGTTTGGTCATGTATTCTTTAAACTGTTCAGCAAACACTTCTTTAAACTGTTCAGTAAACCCATATGTAAAGTGTTAAGCAAATTGTTCTGTAAAATCTTCTCTAACCTGTTCGGTAAACCGTTCAGCACACCGTTCAGTAAACTCATCTGTAAACTGTACAGTAAACTGTTCCGCAAACCCTTCTGTGTCCTGTTCAGTAAACTTTTCAGTACACCGTTCAGTAAACTCATCTGTAAACTGTTCAGTACACCGTTCAGTAAACTCATCTGTTAACTGTTCAGCACACCGTTCAGTAAACTCAACTGTAAACCGTTCAGTAAACTCATCTGTAAACTGTACAGTAAACTGTTCCGCAAACCCTCCTGTTTCCTGTTCAGTACACCGCCCAGTACACCGTTCAGTAGACCCCTCTGTGAACTATTCAGTGAACTGTTAAGTAAACTGCTCAGTAAACCCTTATGTGATCTCTTATGTAAACTGTTACATAACCTGTTCTGTAAATCCTTCTGTAAACTGTTCAGTAAAACCTTCTGTGAACGGCTCTGTTAACTGTTCAGCGAACTGCTCTGCTAAGTAAACTGTTCAGTAAACCCTTCTATTAATCGTTCTGTAAACTGTTCAGTAAACCTTTCTGTACAATGCTCTGTAAATTGTTCTGGAAACTGTTCTTTGGGTTGTCCCTGCTGCATCGGTGATACATTGGGATATTTTCCATGCCAACGACATGCGATACCATTCCGCAAAACCGCTGCTTCACGAAACATTGGTCCTTGGACCATTAAACTTCCCGATTCGTAGTCTCTTTGGGAATACTGAACACTGTATTGATGCAATAGGTCAAGTGTCTCTCTGATCAAGTTGACTTGTCGCCTGCTTCAAGAACAATGTCTCATTCATCATGAACCATACTGCAAATGATTCCCAAAGATCAAAGCGTTGCGCTTCTGTTATCTATGTCCAGTTTATGACCACATCACACGTCTGAAGCAATCCTTTGACAACGCTCATACAAATTCCGGTCTACAAGCTCCATAAGGCGACTCCAGTGACGACATCTGGACACTGTCTTGGGCACAGTAAGCTGCGTGTGACGATCTTGTCATTTGGGAATTCTGTCGTAGAAAACGACTCCTCCTTTGAAACTCCCTCCCCTTGACGCACATACACAAGGACTGGTAGAACGTATCTCTGAAGTGCTTCGACATGAAACCGTAGATAAAGGGATTCATAACACTGTTGGCGTAAGCAAGAAGGTAGAAAGTCTGCCTCATCGGCTTCAGGTAGCCGTAGTTGAGATGGTGTATGACCCGAAACGCTGTCAAGACGTTGCTGATGAGAATGGGGGCCCAGCAGACCACGAAGATGAGGATGACTGCTACTAGCATCTTAATGACCTGAAATTGGAAATAACAATAATATAAACCATTAATTATTTCCATTAATTGAAGGAAAATGTACAAACACAGTGCTGTAAGGCAGGGAAAGTTCTTCTCAATGTTCTAGTTGTATTACATTGATTTAGGTAAGATTCACTATTCAGGAGAGCATTACTATGTAATGTAAGCAGTGGTGGGGGTGTTGTAGATGATTTTGGTGTCAAGTGTAATCCGGATTATCCTGGATCAGTGAAGAATAATCCGGTTTGTGTGGAACTTTCTGAAAGGTGTTTTTACTGAACCAGAAGAAGCGCACGCCTCTATCATCTCCTATGACATCAAGACCAACGGTTTACCAAAGATCATATTTTCATATTTTGGCAGCTTTATCAGTATTGCGGGTAGTACATTAGTTAAGTATTCAGACATCAGTTAAGTATTGAGACCGGAAGGTATATCAATACGGAAGTACATAAAAGACTATGTTGTGTATGCCACAAAGGATTTGACCAAGACGAGTACCACTTCCTTTTAATATGCTCCTCTTATAGCCAGTTACGTGAAAATTATATACCCTCAGTATAAGTATCACTTATATCCATCTAAGTCTACGCTTAATATCCTGATGTCGACCAACGATTGTACCCTAAGTAAGAATCTTGCAATGTATATTTACCATGCAATGCCAATCCGTCGAACACTAACTTGAATGTCAACATTTGATCGAATTGTAACACTTGTCTACGACATGTAGATACATGTATGTAGTTTTGGGCCTACACTAACGGGATAAAGAATTGAATTGAATATTCTCAACAGTCAACACTGACTTTATTGCTATTTTCACCTATTTTAGACTTTATGCTGCTTTAAGTAATTGTTATTTTCACTTATTTTAGACTTTATGCTGCTTTAAGTAAATGCTATTTTCACTTATTTTAGACTTTATGCTGCTTTAAGTAATTGTTATTTTCACTTAATTTAGACTTTATGCTGCTTTATGTAATTGTTATTTTCACTTATTTTAGACTTTATGCTGCTTTAAGTAATTGCTATTTTCACTTATTTTAGACTTTATGCTGCTTTAAGTAATTGCTATTTTCACTTATTTTAGACTGTATGCTGCTTTAAGTAATTGCTATTTATACTTATTTTAGACGTTATGCTGCTTTAAGTAATTGCACTGCCATTGAATTCTGTACTGCCACGTTATTGTGCACCGGCTTTGAAAATGCTCACCATTGATTTCTAAACCTGGTTAATTGTTAATTAGAAAGAATTTAAGAGATGTGAAACTGTTAGACTTTCAATATAAATTTCTGCACGAAATTGTTTATACCAAAAAATGAACTGTTTAGACTGAATCTGGTGGACAATACCATATGTTCTTTGTGTAATGATTCTGTTGAGACCTTATGCCATGTATATTGGGAATGTGATGAAACCAAAACTTTCTGGAAGAAACTTGAACAGTGGATTACGAAACGTATCCAAACACTTAATTTGACAAAAAGTTTGATCCAGTTTGGCTTTTTAGGTAAGAACCCATTACTGAACCACATAATCTTATCTGCTAAGATATATATTTACACTTGATCTTTGAAAAAAACAATTCCAAAAGTTGATAATTACTTATATTGATATTGAATGTACATAATGTACTATATCTCTATTGAGCCCACTAGCTGCTATGTACACATATTCCTCTATATGCTTGTACCCATCATGTTTTTGTACTCATCACATTGGGAACAATAACACACAAAAAATAAAATAAATTTGTAAATTATTGTTGTTAAATACTAGCATTTCTATGTTGTTTGATGCTTTCGAAGTGAATTCATTGGCGTATAGATCTCTAGCTGAACGTGATTGAGTTTAGTTTTACACCGCTTTTAGTAATATTCCAGCACTATCACTGCGGGGACACCAGAAATGGGCTTCACACATTGTACCTTATGGCGTGACGAGGGATAGCTTTAACCAATAGGCTACCCCACCGCCCTCTTCCCCTCCCTCGAAGTTGGTTGTAACAACAATTATTAAAGTCTTTTAAAAAACAAAGGAAGAACCTGTCCGAGGGATCTGAAACTCCCGGACCGATATTTCCTGTCACATGGTACATTTATCCCGAAGCACGACTGGAAACATGTCACGCGACGCCGTGCCTGCTGAGCTGGACGTTCTCTGACATGGCATCAGACTGTTATTGGTTCGGGATTATTCAAGAATAAACGAGAACATTTCTGCAGATGCCCTCACCAAAGATTTCTTTACGAGTATTAGTGGATTCCGGTACGAAATGGTGAAGTATGTATTTTTACCCCTTAGTGAGTGATAGATCTGTCCTCACGTGTGTGAAGCCCATGTCCGGTGTCCACCGCCGTGTTATTGCTGGATTATTGGTAAAAGTGGCATAAAATTTATCTCACTCACTAATAAACCTGTCAAATAAACTCTGCAATATTAGATTTAACATGTCTAAGTTTCGATATACCTGATTCAGGGGAAAAACTATGAAGAAAGGTAACAAAGTACTTCTGAAGGATTTGTATACAAACGGTTTCTTCAGTGATCTGATAAATCCTGAGAAGAATATTTCATGATAATCAAAGGAATATAATCTGAGGTTTATGAATAATGGTAGTCAGTTCTTGATTTTGAGCGAAAATGGAAAAAGATCTACTGCAATCCAAAATAAATCTTGAATGAATACTGTATAAGATGCTTGATTGGCATTTTAGAAGACGCTACTTGATGAACATTGATGAATTTTATGGATTTCATCTTCTTTTTATTCTTTGATACAACGTTTCAGTGCTTGTTCTGGCCCCATCATCAGGTAAAAGCCCTGAAGCGTTGTATCAAAGAATAAAAAGAAGATGAAAAATTCTCTATGTTCATCGAATACTGAATACTCTACGACTCCAGGAATAATGAAAAATTAAATTGAAAATTTAAATTAAATGAGGTAAAAAACCTGGCGAAGAATGATGACAGATGATTGACAATGCCAGTAGATTGATGTTCATAATAAGCCCACGTTGGATTAAAACACTGACTTTACACCAATTCTACAATTTAAAAACGGTTTTGCCAAAGTTATAAAACTGGTCAAAACAGCTTAGGAATCAATCAGTCATATTATATTGACCGACGACAAGTAATACCAAGATGGTCAGCCATTAGGACTAATTTGGACATGAATCCGTACCAGATTGGAGAGTGCTCAAAGATGATACAGTTTGGCCAGGTTAGAGGTTGCCATGACTGGACTAATCACCGGTCATTTTGTCGGACCAGACTGATTGATTACAGGTTAGCACAAAATAGACACCCGGTGTCATAAGTGATTTTCAGTGATCCGAACACATCATTTTCACCCTATTTAGCCGTCAACGTCTGGTGGAAAATCTTTCGGTAGATAATCAAAAATGATATTTTCCTGATCTGTCGTCAAATATTCAATTCATTCTAAAAGCGGCATTTGACCGGGAGATCGACCTGGGGAATACATTGCAAGAGGTTTCAAATTTTATTGATCTGGCCCATAGTTTTGAAGATAAACGAAACCTTGCGTGGGCTTGTACCAATAAATAGATATTAAGATGTCATGCAAACTCCCAGATCCCGTTCCTCAACCCACACATGCCATTATACATTTCAAAATGTTTTTGGTTAGTCAGGTGTACTTGGAGTTTACTCGTTATTCCGAGGTGGCGGGTTCAAGCCCCAGTATGGGTACAATATCCTCGGCCATGATGTTATTGAATAATGCCAGAAGCGACGTAAATCTCACTCATTAACATTATTAAACAGGGTTGTTATTTCTAATCCAAATCCCAGACATAAAAATAGGAACAGATCACCAATGTCCTTTTCACAAAGACAAGAATATGATTTCCATTGTTTGCATCTCACGGTTCGATCATTGTTGTCAATGTCCTTTTCACAACGACAAAAATATCCTTTATGTATATATCTTACGGTTCGATCAAAAGGTTATGGCTGCAACGCCTAAATCTCCAAAAGTAAGTCATTCTGTACACATGATCCTTTTCTCATATCATTTCGATGTATGTTTTCAACGTAACCGGACAACATTCTATTTTGCCCGGATAAAAGTCGTGATCATTCGTAGTCCTAGTAGTTGTTGAAAAACACATGTTCGGCAGTTGTATGGTGGTATGTGAGGGACATAAAATTGACAGTTTGTCTTTCAAAAACATAGATGTCATTCTAGGGAGAATTCAACATATTTGTTGGTTGTAGCAATAATTTATTCAGACGCCCACATTTATTGGTTAATATATGGTTTTAGATGGTGTGCTTTGACAAAACAGTATTATTGGAATCTAAATGATTTAACCTACCTGTTTCCTTGTGGCATCATCATCAGTGGAGAACTTCTGCTTCTTCATCACTGGGGTCTTTTCTGACGTGACGTGGTAGGGGCTGCTTTCAGTTGAAGGCGGTGACCGGAACGTTCCTGTAGCTAGAACTCTGCCAAATAGACAGTGATTCGTTAACACGTATGTAGTCCTGGACTAGACCCACCACAGAAACAATGACTACTGGATGTTGCCAACGTAAGACAGTCAAACGCCGATGCACCAGTCACTGTAACTGATGTAGACGTGCCTGCAATTATACTACTTTAGATTTGGCAACATTTAAAGTCCTCGAACTTTGCCAGTGGAACCGTCAAAGTGACTACTGTAGACGTGCATACAGTTAAACTAATATAGATTTGCCAACAATTAAAGTGCTCAAGATCCCGCCAGTGGAACCGTCGCTCTGTCAACTGTTGACGTGCCTGCAATTAAACTACTAAACATTTGCCAACAATTAAAGTACTAGACATTTGCCAACAATTAAAGTGCTCAAGACCCCGCCAGTGGAACCGTCACTGTAACTACTGTTGACTTGCCTACAGTAAAACTAATATAGATTTGCCAACAATTAAAGTGCTCAAGGTCCCGCCAATGAAACCGTCGCTCTGACAACTGTTGACGTGCCTGCAATTAAACTACTAAACATTTGCCAACAATTAAAGTGCTCAAGATCCCGCCAATGAAACCGTCGCTCTGACAACTGTTGACGTGTCTACAATTAAACTAATATAGATTTGTCAACAATTAAAGTGTTCAAGACCCTGCCAATGGAACCGTCACTGTGACAACTGTAGACGTGTCTACAATTAAACTACTACATATTTGTCAACAATTAAAGTGTTCAAGACCCTGCCAATGGAACCGTCACTGTAACTACTGTTGACGCGCCTGCAATTAAACTACTAAAGATTTGCCAACAATTAAAGTGCTGCCAATGGAACCGTAGATTGTATATTGTAATGTGTCCTCCGATATGTAATACCTATCGATCAATACGATCCATCATAGCTCCCCAAACGTAATAAATGGCAACACTTTGGGAAATATGTGATTTTTTATACATTACATGATGTATGTGATAATGGTGTATAAATAGCTATAATTACATCAAACACACCCATTATTTCCTTCAATTACCTATATCCAGATCATAAACATATCTCCCTAGACATTAACATGAACCAATACTGAATAAGCAGATATTAATCATTTGACAACTGATCTCTTCTTATACAAATAAGCTCATCTTGCAGCTGAATACCTGGCGTCATCCCTATTTGATAATAATTCTTCAACACATGCTTATAATACTGTCTGAATCGTACGATCGAACCTACTTTAGCAGAGGCTTATGATTAATATGGAATGGGCTTAAACGCTTCTATTTGCCCAGACTACCTTAGATGCACTGATGTATTTGGTTTGGGCTGCACAGTTTATATCACCAGTGAAGGAGATTACAGTGTACTACTACAGTGCTCGCGAAATATTCTGCTACTTTTTTTTAGTTGGGTTTAACACCACTTTGCACAGTATTTCAGCTCAAGCTGAAAACATATTATATTAACTGCCTTAAAACGCTGAAGCGTCATCACGTAATTATTCTGTGGAAGGAGTCTTCGACATTGTATTTCAGCTAGTGGTGTTCTGATGATCGAAAATCGATCGAAAAGGGATTAAAAATAATTATCAGTTGCAAAAAACATATTTTCGAATAATCGGAATTTAGTTGTATAAGTATAACACACTTGAGTGAAGTAAACTAACAATTAAATTTGACGATTATTCAGGATACTCATGAATGATGGTATATATATGTAATGATAGAATAGAATAATCAAGTAATGAGAAGATGACAGAAAGTATTGTAAAATTTAAACACTTTTATTGTTTAATCACAATTCCAGTGTCTTTCACTGTATGGCAGTATTAGTTATAAAAAACATTAATTGAAAAAAAACCTGGGGGAAAAACCCTTAAAATTGGTGATTACATTAAAAATGTATATACTTCGATAATAATCGATAATCATTCACCACAAGTCCTTCGATAATCGATAATGGATTTGGGTTCCGATTCCCAACACTAAACAGACAATAAATGCCTGAGAAAATATTATACAGATCTTTTTCAACCACTTTCTGTAACAAATAATATTTCAAAACACACATATTCAAATCTATCTAACTCCCCGATAAATGATATACATATATTATAGGAGGTTGTGATGTGGAGTCTGTGTGAAATCTACTTTTTGTTTTACTTTAAAGAACTGGAATAAATGTGATTGTGATGATACTGAAACTGATTTCTACGATAATAATATCTAGACATACAAGGTTTACCTGAACAGACGTTGTGTGCCTCCATCCATGAAATATAGTACATCCAAAAATGTAACAAAAAGTGTGTTTTCTTATTTTTTTTACTGGTTGTTTCACACAATCAATTGATTGACGTCACGCACATTGACGTCACGACATGCACCAACCGAGTCAGCGAGCCTAACAACCCGATCCCGCCAGTCTCCTTTTACGACAAGCGTGGGTTGCCGAAAACAAGTTCCAGCTCTGTTCTCCACGAGTCTGCAAAAAGACCTACTTGGAATTTTTATATTGGATATTTCTACTCTTGAATAATTAGTTTATAGGCACATCAAAGCCATTCTGTGTTGATTTCTCTTTATGACCATCCAAATTGGCCTTCTAAAAGTGACAATATCTCAAATAGCAATTGATTTTTGGACAGCTGTTTTGCAGGTATTTTCTCCAACACATTGATTGGCGCATCAGTCCCTGCCGTCGTTGGAGCCTTTAATGCACTATCAGGAAATATGCAGGATTATATTATAGATGAAAGTTCCTGTAATAGCCCTTCATTGGGAGCCATGTCATATCATGCTGATTCATTTAAAGACCTAGAAATAATGAAGACAGTGTGATCAATGAATATGGCATGAAACGCAAGGAACAACGGACGATTCCTGGAGTGTATGATATGAATAGAAGGTGTATGACTGGCCCAGAAAAGGAATTTACTTGCTACTCAAAAGATGAAACAGCCGTAATATCACAGCTCTACAGAACCTATTGTTAAAGACATAATTGTAAACATCATTACTCATAATGACTCTCATCAATTACTTACAACAGTTTCAGTATCTAATTAAACGAGAACACATGAAACGGTATATCTTCCCCATTCAAGCTAATTACAAATATATAGATATAAACAGATGCAAGGAACTCTTGGAAGAGAAACTTTCTCAACTTGATTCACTACTGATGTGGATTCTGACATTGATTCAGCTTATTGTGTTCCGTAATGGCATCTTTAGCTGCAGGAGGTGACATGCCATTATATAATTACGTTTCCACATCTTGAGGTATCTTTTCGACAATGAATTTCAAAAGAGAACTCATAAATGCAAGAACGCTATCAAAGACTGTCATAAACAGGATCTGTGTTATTTTCAAAAGGATATAAAAAGCTGGAAATCAACCACTTTTAACTGACTGACTTTTTCTTAAACACAGTATATTTACTTGAAAGATGTAACAGCCAGAGAAGTGAGTGAGAGAGTGACTTTAGTTTTACGACCACACTCAGCAATATTCCAGCCATATGGCGGCGGTCTGTGAACAATCCAGTCTTGACCAGACAATCTAGTGATCAACAGCATGAGCATCGATCTGCGCAATTGGGAACCGATGACATGTGTCAACCAAGCCAGCGAGCCTTACCACCCGATCCCGTTAGTCGCCTCTTACGACAAGCATGGGTTACTGAAGGTTCATTCTAACCCGGACCTTCACGGGTGAACACCCAGAGAATTTCACCAATTTATGCCATAAAGAACTCCTTCCAGAGTAAGGTTTTAGGCCGCTTGTAGCAATATTCTTGCAATATAACGACGGCGGACACAAGAAATGGGCTTCACATTGTACCCACTTGGGGATTCGAACCCGGGTCTTCTGCTTGACGAGCGAACACTTTAACCACTAGACTGCCTCACTGCCCCCCTTCGGGAATTGAAACTGGTCGGTCTTCTGTACACTCTGCCAAGTTATGTTATTGCTCAGAAGGACATCCGCAGCCAACTCTTTCTCTGCTTGGGATACTGTTAAGACACATTTCCAATTTAACCCTCCAAACACCCATTGTCATTTATTCTTCTTAGGGAACAAAACATAAAAATCCTTTGAGACAACCCGCATCCAACTCTTGGTCTGCTGGGGATGCTGTTGTCATATTTCAAATAAATATTTCAACAAAGAATTAATGCTAATTGGTTCAACAAAAACAGGGGGCGGTGTGGTAGCCTAATGGGTAAAGCGCTCGCTCGTCACGCCGAAGACCCGTGTACGATTCCCCACATGGGTACAATGGGTACCCATTTCTGGTGTCCCCCGCCGTGATATTGCTGGAATATTGCTAGAATCGGCGAAAAACTAAACTCACTCACTCAACAAAAACATGTAAAGCATTCCCATCCCTTCCCAACATGTGATTATTTCATGCTTGACCCCAAGTAACTATACTCACAAGCCGCTCCTCATGGCCGACCTCCTGGTGGTCATTATCCACAGCTCCAGACAGATGCTGACATAAGCGAATGTCATGATGGCAACAGGGAACACAAGCATAATGCCCAGCATGAACAGTTCGTATAGACTGCTGTAGAGCGTCTGGTCCCAGTCCTTCACGCACCAATACCCCTTCCTGTACACCCCGACCTCCTTGTGGATCTACACAACAAAACACATCTCAGTGTCATCTGTAGGTTGGAGATTTAAAGGCACTGTACCATCGTCACTTGGTTGGTTTGTTGTTTAAAGCCGCACTCAGCAAAATTCCAGCTATATGGAATATGGAGGCGGTCTGTAAATAACTAAAATATTGATCGTGCGGCGTTGAACAAATTTGACTAAAAAATTCAAAGGTAAAACATGGTTTGAATGATTGACATAAGTGTTTCGATTTCTGGACTGGGTTGGTTGGCTTGTTTGACGCCGCTCTCAGCAATATTCCAGCTATATGGCGGCGGTCTGTAAATAATCCAGTCTAGACCAGACAACCCGGTGATCAACAGCATGTGCATCCATTTACTCAATTGTGATACGATGTATCAACCAAGTCAGCGAGCCCGACCAACCGATCCCGTTAGTCGCTTCTTACAAGCATGGGTTACTGAAGACCGATTCTAACCCTGATCTTCACGGTTCGGTATGTGATACAAGAACACTATAAAAGGTGGTTCGCTGGAACCAGCCAATGATATTTTGGAATTATCTTTCTTGACATAAACAGTGTTTATATGTGATGGTAATAGTATATATACTTATGTATATACTCTTTAAAGTAGGAGGCCTGTCATTGATACAGTATTCATGAAACACGTGGCGGTGGTGTAGCTTCGTGGTTAAAGCGTTCGCTCGTCACGCTGAAGACCTGGGTTTGATTTCCCATATATATACACATATACATATACATATACATAACATATAGTGAGTGTTTTAAGTGAGTCTAAACATTTGTTGGGAAATATATATTAAGTTTTGAGGAATTGGAATTTACAGTAACAACCTAAAAAGTTTAAAGTACAAAATTAATGAAGACTAAAACAGCAACAAGTAACGAACTGTCCTAATTCTTGTCCTCTTAAATCACTAGAAAGCTATTGCATTAGGACAACCTCATCGCGACCGAGCAATATCGAACAAAAATGTCATTAGGATGTTGTATTTTAGAACGTCATACTCCCACATTTTACCCCGAAGAAATCTCCCAGTACAAGAGAAAAGTCGTTGTTGCGGAAATACACATCACGAATCTGGAAACTGATACTAATTTGCTGTCTTCAATGATTTATTCGAGATGAAGCCATCGAGTTAAGTGTGGTAATTCGTGTTATTTTTATTTCCTAGTTAACACTGAGTGCCATTTGGAGTCTCGTTATCACTGTCGACACCTTGGCAAATTGATTAATTGATTAAAAACATTCGACATCAGACACCTAATAGCGCTGTTCTCACGAATCATGTCTTAATTATAGCTACCTACATTCATTTCTTCACCTTATAGAATCTTCCAGAGTTTATACAGTTTTGTAAGATGGAAGTCTTTATCGCTTTTACAATACCGAGGAAAGAAGCCTTCGCTGACTTCTTGGTGTGTCCACAGAAAAAAGAAGATTTATTGATCTGAGAAAAATCGTCTAATATTTCGATACTTAATTTACCCTCAAAGGGTTTTTAGTAGTAAATAATCAGTTCAATGTGTCTTCAGCTCAGTGTATTCTTAGCCCTCGACGTAATTGCTAGCGGTTGTCTCATCAGGATATTTCGTTCCAGAAGCTGCTCCGTAATTTGACGAGAGGAAAACGGTTACAGCGGTTACATTGAATAATTTCCTTGATATGTATTTTCGGCTGCGATCTGGATAATCAGCTTCTGATCCGACCTTGATGAAGTCACATGCAGAATATCTCACTTGTTTGTTTATGTGAGTGTAAGTGACCGATAGTCGCATCTTAGGTTTGTTTGTTTGTGTTTTTTTGTATAATGCCGCAGTTAACAATGTTCCAGCAGCGGTCTGTAAAAAATCGAGTCTGGACCAGACAATCCAGTGATCAACAACATGAGCATCGATCTAGGCGATTGCCGCATCTTGGGGTTAGTGAGTGAGTTTAGTTTTACGCCGCAGTCAGCAATATTCCAGCTATATGGCAGTGGTCTGTAAATAATCGATTCTGGACCAGACAATCCAGTGATCAACAATACGATCATCGATCTAGGCAATTGCCGCATCTTGGGGTGTTAGTGAGTGAGTTTAGTTTTACGCCGCACTCAGCAATATTCCAGCTATATGGCAGTGGTCTGTAAATAATCGAGTCTGGACCAGACAATCCAGTGATCAACAACATGAGCATTGATTTAGGCAATTGCCGCATCTTGGGGTTAGTGAGTGAGTTTAGTTTTACGCTGCACTCAGCAATATTCCAGCTATATGGCAGTGGTCTGTAAATAATCGAGTCTGGACCAGACAATCCAGTGATCAACTTCATGAGCATCGGTCTTCGCAAATGAGATACGATGACCAAATCAGCGAGTCTGACCATCTGATCCTGTTAGTCGCCTCTTACGACAAGCATGGGTTCCTGAAGATCAGTTCTAATCCGGATCTTCACGGATACAAACATGGACAGCTAACTTCCCGGCTGCGGGACATAAGACAGAGTTTGTCCAGTTTGTCAAGTTTCCTAGAGTCACGGTGGTCAGTGTCTTGGTTGCATTGTGTACATTGACGTGCTGATGAAGTACTGTATTAGGACGATATTCAATCTTTTTCGTTGTTACATTTCATCTTATCTTACCTCACACATAAATGTCGCTTTCTGATTGGCTGAGCGCTCTCCTGTTATTTTCAATGTACCCCGCTTACAAGCGAGTAACATTTCAATGTACCCCGCTGTCAATGGCAACTCATTTGGTACTTCATGATAGTAATTCTTTATCTCGAATAGCATTGAATCACGTATGATGAACGGAAATTACCGATGTTTTGCGAATGCAAATTTATGAAAGGGAGATAACTCTAAATCTATTTTTCTTGTCAGCAAAATCTAGCGATGGCTACAAAAAGATTTGTACCCGTGCTTCAAACAATTCAAAATTAACATTAAGGTGTTCGGTAAGATAAATACGTTGCTCACTGTTCCCTCGGGGCCCATGGGTTGATGAACATAAACAAACATCGAAGGGCTCACCCCCTCGTGGGAACATAAACAAACGATCGAGGGTACGTCAACCTACAAGCATTTAGAACGTTCCCCACTTACTTTCCAAACTTCTACAGAAGCACACGGTAGCCACTGGTTTAATTTTTAGGGTGAAATTGCAAAACTATTTGTAGTACAGACATATATCGTCGCCTGAAAACCGGTGTTCTGTCCACTTTTGGTGAAAATTGAGTCAAGAAGATCAGGGTATGTTTTTCTGCATATTCAATCTCCATGCAAAATTTCACCGTGATAAATAGCCTAGAACTTGGGTTTATATTGTTTTAACTCCATAAAATAACACAATTTGTTAGTTCCAGAGTATTCTAAGTGGCTATTGGACCAATCAGCAAATCTAGTTTGATCACGTGACATGGAAATGGAACAGTCTGGAAGTTATTATCATCAGTATAGACATACAAAGGGAACATTGGAACATTGCCTACATTTATGATTTATTTAATATAAATCGTAAGCTATGAAACTAAAACAGCCAAAATACAACCTAGTACGGGAGAGATAATTATACAGCAATCGCACAACGATGATTCAGCTCCGTTTCTGATACACAGAACACTCTGGTTCTGAACAAAATTACGAATCTCTTTCGCCAGGCGTTTTTCGTTAATTTCTTATTTATTTCAAGAACTTAAACATACTTTTAGTTATTTGTGCACAATTCCAAAGAATTTGATCGAATAGTTTCGAAAATATTGTTGTTCTAAACTTCAAGATCGGTTTTCTCGAAAATAGGATTTTGGGACCTAGAACACTTTGGTTTTCAGGCGACGATATGGTTCCGGAACACAGACGGTTTCAATTTGAATTATTGTCCATTATATCCAAATGTTAAAACCCGACTTAGCACTAACAGCTTCGATCTGTTATCTGCTATCTATCTAAAATCAAGATAAAACGACCATTATGTTTAAAGGTTGATGGTTTTAAATTCTGGAAAGATTCAAAAGCATTCAAAGTTTTGCTCGGTTTAATATCCGACAAAATCTCATTTGCCTTTATAACCAAAAGCCATCATGAGTATCCATGGATGTGACTTTCAGATGAAATCGTTAACAAGCGAGCAGTGCACAATAGACAAGGACAGGAGCAAGCTGTAGGCTGTACAGTTAATGTGATATCATGCAATCTGCTTTGAATGTTAAAGGTGAGTTTCTACAGGTTTGAGTTGAGTATTTACCTGTGATTTAAGACAGATAGAGACCTCGTGTCAGAACTTTATTATGATTACTACATTCTGTCGCGAGAACAAAGGTCCCGGTCAGTGCTTACGCGACAGTACGTTTATACCACGATCCAATACTGACATTGGTCATCTATCACTTGACTTCTGCATTTGAGCAAGTTTCGTCTCAATTTGTCGCTCAATACTTCGCAAAGTGGTCTATTTAAGTAACAGGATAGATGCTAGGGAGATATTAAGCCGCAAACATAGGGCGCTGCTCAGCTAAAAAGTTCTTTTAAAAGTTTTAGACTGAAGGTATGTTTTGTTGATTGTTATATCAGCAAGTTCACTAAATGTTCCAGCTGACAAACCAAACAAAACATTAGCTGTTGATATAGCTCAAAACTATGCGAATTGTTCTTAATTACGTGCTCGTCAATTGTATGGAACTTTAGAAAATGTTCAACAAATATTTATCAAAATGTGTATTTGCATGAGATTAAGAAATTTTGTCATGAGAAATCGCTACAATAAGTATTGTTTATTATACGAGACTGAGATTGGAAATGCTACATAAAATACAATATTTATGCAGTGAGAAAAACGTAAAATACAATCCTTATATGATCGGGGCAGAGAATACAATATTTATGTGAGCGAAACACAAAATACAACATTTGTATGCGGAAGAAACATAAAATACAATATTCATGTGAGAGAAACAAAAAATATAATATTTATGTGAGAGAAACATAAAAATATAATATTTGTATGCGGAAGAAACATAAAATACAATATTCATGTGAGAGAAACAAAAAATATAATATTTATGCCAGAGAACACCTAGTGATTTGTTTGTTTCTGAATTGATTATAAGGTGAATCCTGTAGGCAACTGGTGGCACTGTTTAAGGTTCATGAAGTTACTTACTCTTTGGAAAACAATGGGTACTGCAAGGAGACCCGACAACAGCCATAGCACAGCTATGACACGACACGCCTTGCCAACGGTACACGTATATTTGGCTCTCATCGGGAACATGATGGCGTAATATCTGCAATGACAACGAACAAACACATAAAAGCAATGTGGCAAAGTGTAATCAGCTATAAGGTATCTATATATCTGCAAAAAATATGTCAAATCACAGCATTTTATCTTTCCCGGTTTTATTTTTCCCGGTTTCCATAGAAACGATTTGGACTTAGTCTCAAAGGGACGGTTGGGTTTCGTTTCCGGAGCACAACTTGAAAACTTCTTACTATGTTTCAGCAAAACTTGATAGATATAAGAGGCAGATCCCTTAGTGGTGCCTTTTTTTCATTTGAATTTTTGTCATTTTATTTTCCCGGTTTCCATAGAAACATTTGGACTTAGTCTCAAAGGAGGGTTGGGTTTCGTTTCCGGAGCACAACTTGAATTTTCTTAATATCTTTCAGTAAAACTCGGCAGATATGGAGGCAGATCTTGACTGACTGTCTGACTGAGTTTGGTTTTACGCCGCTTTTAGCAATATTCCAGCAACAACGGCGGCGGACACCAGAAATGGGCTTTATACATTGTACCCATGTGGGGATTCGAAACTTCGGCGTGACGAGCCAACGCTTTAACCACTAGGCTACCCCACCGCCCCAGGCAGATCTTGAAGTGGTGCCTTTTGCTATCTGCAGATTTTTATCATTTTATTTTTCCCGGTTTCTCATAGAAACGATTCGGACTTAGTCTCAAAAGGGAGGGGTGGGCTTCGTTTTTCGGAGCACAACTCGAAAACCGTTCAATATCTTTCAACAGAACCTGGCAGATATATGAGGCAGATCTTGAAGTGGTGCCTTTTGCGATTTACAGATATTGGCATTTATATTTTTCATGATTTCCATGGAAACGATTTGGACTTAGTCTAAAAAAATCAAGCTTGACTTTAAGTAACTGTCGGATGACTTGTTCTTTCAAATATGTGGGGGCCGGGGGAATATGTCATCTTCTGATGACTCTTGTTGTAGTGGTAGTGAGTGAGTGAATGAGTAAGTGAGAGAGTGACTTTAGTTTTACGCCACACTCAGCAATATTCCAGCTATATGGCGGCGGTCCGTAAATAATCGAGTCCCGACCAGACAATCTTTTGTTCAACAGCATGAGTATCGATCAACGCAATTGGGAACCGATGACATGATTGTGTGTCAGCAAGCCTGACCACCCGATCCCGTTAGTCGCGTCTTACTACAAACATGGGTTACTGAAGATCAATTCTTACGAGTCTTCACGGGTCAATAGTAGTAGTGGTAGCAGTAGTAGTAGTAGTAGTAGTAGTAGTAGTAGTAGTAGTAGTACATCGTACACTAAGTCGAAGACGTAAAGTAAAACGGGTCCCTTTTTCCTTTTCTGCACACACCAACATTACAACATCTGGATTCAAAATATTTCGCAAACAATAAATCAACAGAGTAATCTGCCCTACTCCTACACCCAAAATCGTATATACTATTTAATGATGGAATCACTCAATGCATTGTTTTGGGAACACATGTTGTCTTCATTCATAACTATATGTTTGAGTTACTGGTCTCGATCATATGTCTGAGGTTCCCGTCTGGATCATATGTTTGAGTTACGGGTCTGGCTTAACAGAAAGTGTTTATGTTGCACGAAAATAACGGTAAAGTATATATCAGTATCGATGCGGGTTAGCCAAGCAATTATTCCATGTCAACAGAACGTGGGTTGTATCGGCAATATGGAAACAATCTCAGTCGGCGATATCTCTACTGCGCAGTTGTACAAACCTCTCCAGACTCATGGCTGTCAGGGTAAATACGGAACAGATGGCAGACACATTCTGAAGATAGTGGACACTCTTGCACAGAAACTCTCCGAAGGTCCAGGTGAAGGAGAAAAAGGCTGCTAACTGCAACAGATTCAGATCCAGACACAGTTAATATCTAGGAAACTATCCTGTAGTACACAAGAATATACAAAATTACCTTCATCTTTAAATCTCTTCGGTGATACAGATTTACAAAATTACAAGTATATTTTGGCATTTACAGATTTTTAGAAAGAAAATTAACTGTGATTTTTTTTATGTGACTGTTTGTTTAGTGCATGGGGTTGAGAAGACGAAACATGACACATCCAGTTTGTTTATTCGCTCAGTGCAAAACGGTACACTACTTAACGGTAGGTTGTAAATAATCGAATCCAGATCAGACATTCGATCCATCGGTCGATACCACAAGGAGTAGGCACTGCCCATACCAAAGCGGAAGTTGGTAGGTTGCAATTACCATGTTCCCGCGGGGCTGGAAAATATTGATTTCATGAGACCCCATTGGTGATGATTCATGTAAGTATACATCTTAGCTCTTAATTAAACCGTACAGATATCATGCACCGAAGGGCTTCTGGGCAACAACTGTTGCAGTATTGACATACAACGTTCAGTTAAAACTTAATATTTTTCTACGTTTTAGAGATATTGGGCAGTTGGAAGATCAGTGTATAATTTTTCTGTGAGGTGAGGTGAGGTGAAATTGGGTTTAGCGTCGTGCTTGAGAATATTTCGATCATATGACGACGTGCATGCGTGTGTATGTGTAGGTGCGGCTGCTTGTACTAGCCCAGACTGAAGCTGGTTTAATAGTGCTAGCCCACTGAGATACCATACCGCAGTGAAGCATGAATACCCCACTCAGACACATTATACTGACTCCGAGCCGAACAGTCCTTGTTGTACCCATTAATGCCGAGCGCCAGGCCCTTCCGCTCTCCGGGCGGACGCTCTAACCACTACACCACGGAGGCGGTCTTCTGCGAAGTGTCTTTTCTGTGATATTTATGTTTTAGTAAAATAAAACTTGTAAGAGTGTGTGGATATGAACACACTTTATATGCAAAAGGTAGCTCGAAAAATCCCCTCCGGGTAGTTAGTGTAAGATGTTACGTTGATTATCACCATTTTTATGTAAGTAGGGACATTAATGTATCTATATTTGTTGAAGGAATTTTAGGACGTTTTGTGTAGATATTTTAGCTACCTTGCAATTGTTTTGGCTGGGTGAGCTGCAAACCTGCTCGTGTGGGGTTAAGCTATATTCCATATAAAAGTATGTGTTTATAAACCATCGTGACAGTTGTCATCAAAGACTGACTGACTGACTGAGTTTGGTTTTACGCCGCTTTTAGCAATACTCCAGCAACATCACGGCGGGGGACACCAGAAATGGGCTTCACACATTGTACCCATGTGGGGATTCGAACCCGGGTCTTCGGCGTGACGAGCCAACTCTTTAAGCATTAGGCTACCCCACCGCCCTGTCATCAAAGAGCGATGATCCCATATTGTAGGAACATCCCAGTTGGCACAAACACAAACCAGGGCAACGTATTTGTTCACATAAACATATCGTGAACATCAAAGTAGGGGAGTGCAGAGGACGTCATTTCCATCCCTGCTACGTCAGATTGGGAAATGTCCTCCATATGTCTACCTTAACAGCCTTTGAAAGCTGTGCCGAGGGATTTAATATAGTTATCATGATCAAACAACTCTTGAGGAAGAGTCATTTGACACGCTTTGAAATCTTCGCAGAAAGAGCACCATTGATTGTAACTCTATCGCTAGTTGTGAAATATAGACCCAATTTGGACGCTTTTCTGAGACCTCCAATTTAGTTACCGTGATCAAACAACAAGCAGGGTTGCGGGTTGTAAAATATAGAAACCAACTCCTGGAGCTTCTGGAATGTTGCTCAACGACTGGCGGGTTGACTTGGGTAGCTGAAGTCATCCCTCTTGTCATACAATCTTTTCGTGAGTTCTTGTTATTGTGGTTCCCGACCCACAAAGCGTTCGTAGCGCTACGGCATTCGCACTGGTGGGGAACTTGGTTACAGTGACAGTGGAGTGGTTGTGATTTTTGCGACGGAAACTTTGTGATATGTCACAGAGTCTTTGTGATTTTAGCATCAGCAAGGTAAGGGTAAGGTACAATAAATGGCCTGTATACCTACAAAATCAATATTTCAAGAGAGTTGAATTCACATTTACTTACAGTAGGTTTCCATCAGTAACAAGTAAATATGTGTTGTTCTGAAAGTTACTGATAATTATGTAAAACCATTAATTGTCACGAAATTCATTCTTTTTGATAAATACCGGTATATTGTGACAAATGATCCCATAAAGAAGTGTAAAAATAATACAAAGTGTTCCGTTTAGAGATTATCCTCTTTCATCATAAAGCATGTGCTGTTTTATCAGCGAAAAAACCCGAACATATTAATTCCCATGAATTGGTTTAATGTCACAGAAACTTTGTGAATACGAAATTGATGTAACGGAAAATTCCTTCATTGTCATTATCTATGCAACATATTGACGTGCCCCAATAAATTACAATTGTGTAAGATAACATTATGCGGTGATTTAAAAAATACGACCTAAAATAACCAGAAGGTAAAGCTATAATTACCATTTCGTCTTGTCAAAACTCATCTCAGTGCAAAGATTCTGTGACACATTGCAAAGTTTCCGTCGGAAAAATCACAAAGACTCCACTCTCACTGAAACCAAGTTCCCTACCAGTGATTCGTAAGCTTATGGTAAACTATAGAGTTACGACAGGTTGTAACGTTACGAACGGTTTGTGTGTTTTGACACTGAATCTTTTTGCACTGATCTAAATGTGAAAGAGATAAGACTATTGCTTTTCGGGAGGATTTTCGAGTCCTGGTGGATGCATCAGTTGAAAGGACTTATTTATTTCACCAGTATTGGACGATATCAGACGATCTGTATACCTGAAGCTGCAGTTAATCTTCTTTAGCAAATACCATGTTTGAATTTTAACAAGCTCAACAGGCCTTCCGGTTAATACGCTGAAGAAACCTTTCAGCATCAACTGATACCAAAGGCGAGGCTTGTTTTTGCCGAAGTGTCCTATCTGCAAATTCCACATATATGTTATCAGTCAGGAAGTCCAGAATTTCAGATATTCCTTTTTCAGCCTTAGATGATATTTGCTTTCATTTTGCACAAATTGGTTTTAACCTCCTAGGAAGAGCTCTATCTATGGTACCCACGTTTGCTAATAAAAGCCTCAGGGCATTGGGTTATGAGTCAATCTTGTCTAAAATCCTATGGCCCATCAAAGCAAAGCATTGATTGTAATAAGTAATGGAAATGGCTCCAATCATTTCTAGAGGGATAACTACCCTTAAAATATCGCCAGTTTGGCTGATCAGTAATCTGAAAAGTAGGAACATGGTATCAAAGAGAATTTGTTCAGTTATATGTTTCAAGACAACAGATTACATAGAAAATCAATAGTCCTGAAAGTGTTAAACCATCAACTCTACAGTTTTTGTTTGGTTAACATATCTCGAAATATATTCATGAACCAAGGTATACATTGACATAAATCCTAAAATTGCCCAGGAAAGGTAAAACTGACAGAAAAGTAAGCTAGTCTGGAAAATGTCGTCGCTTTTCTATCGCGCTAAATGGCTTTTAAAGTTCTGTAAATAATAGTGTACTTGTTTGAGTGTCCTATATAAATGCAATATCGATTATGGACTTGAAACTTCCGTTCATGATGAAGTAAGTTAGGTTAAGTTCAAAATATTCATTAAACGGTTAGAAATTGCCAAAATAATGTTCCCTGTGCTAGGGTTAAATCGATATTTTACAGACCACGAAGAAAATGGCAATTACTCGAGAACTTATACCCCAAAGCCAGGTTGCTTTTCAAATCTCCGTCTGACAAATGATAACACTAGATCTGAAGGTTACCTCGATTCATTCAGAGTTTCACCAAATCCTTTAAGGGATTCAGGCTAATGGGAATCAACCTCAGTGTTGAGGGTTATTTTAGGTTTTCGAATCCTTCAAGGAAAGATTCTTTTGCACTGGCAAACACTTAGTCATGTAACAGGTTCAAAGAAACGTTTAACTTCTGTACATTCTCTTTTATTTTATTTTTCTTTCCTTTATGTTTCATTCATTGAGAAAATTACTGAAAAGGTACCTGCTTCATAAACGTTATCTGTTGTATGCAAACGATATGTCCTGTCATCTCGTCTTCAAACCAATCAATGTTAAGGTAAGGGACGTTTAAATCATGATATGTTTCAATATAGAACGATTCTGATGGGTTATCGGCAGCCTTTGTATAGATCGATACGTGATCTACAAATGCAACCACGCCTATGTTCCTTTATATGAAAAGGCATACTTTAGAGAAATCAGCAGACAATTCTATGCTTCATTTTAACTAAATACAATTAAGATTTCTTCAAGTACATGGTACAATGTCCACGATTAAATATTTGATATTTTTTCATATTCATAACAAACACTAATCCGTACAATGATCAATTACTGAAGCGATTGAATATGTCTAACCTACTTCCAAACAAATTATGTAGCAGTCAGTTAAATGTCAAATGTAAGATATATATGAAATCTGGGACAAATCAAACGACTTTACTATTTTACTTAGTTAATACATTCGATTACTTCCATCAAGTATCTAAAGAAAACCCACTTTCTTTGTGGATTTCGTGATTTTAGTTATTATAACATCCTTAATGTTGCTTCCTGATTCTTGTGCATACCCTATAAAGGTTGATGTTCACTGATGAATTGTTCAAATGTATTGTTGCAATTAAATTAAGTCGAGAAACGTAACCAATTCCAGTTGGTTTTCATAATGGAAATATGATCCGATAAATGCTACACTTGTAGGAACAACGATGCAAGACGTACCAGACAACCTTTGGTATTTCAGTCTGGACAAAATGATTTCGCCCGACAAGCCACTGAAGCACCAACAAATAAGATGTATCAATGCATTAAATGAGCTCCTGGATCACGGCAGAGCGATTGAGAGGGTATTGGTGTATTTTG